GGCTCAATCCTCACATTCCATCCCCCTTAGCTTCGAAAGTCCGCTGAGATGCTTACTTCGCAGGTGCCTTCCCCTTTAGTTGTCTTTCATATTCAGCGACCACCTGAGGAGCTGTTTCAACCAGTTCCTCTCTGGTGAACCTTCGATCTTCTTTCGGATCTGTGTGATGATTGAATCGGACTCTGTATTCTCTTCTGGGTTTAGGAGGTCTTCCTCGGCCCAGTGGTCTTGGAACAGGCATATCCCTGTGTTCCAGAATGCCGTCGATGTCCACGTGGCCATCCATGGTTGGGGGCAGCATCGATCTCCTTGAAGGGAATTGATCTGTCTTAGCGAAAGGTGCAAGCTTTGAGGCATGAAAGACAGGGTGAGTGCGTAGGTGTCCAGGGATTCGGATAACGTAGGAGGGACCATCCAAATTAGTACCTACTACATCCAGCACTTCCCAAGGACCGAAATATTGTGGCATTAGTTTTCTAGAGATGCCGAACTCCTGTCCTAGCTCACTAGCCTTTACCCAGACATGTTCCCCTACCTGAAATGAGGACTGTCGTCGATGTTTGTTCTCAGAAGCAATCATTGCTTGCTGAGCTTTCCTGGTGTGCTCGACAGCTTGCTGTAGCAACTTCTCATACTGCACACCAGACTCAAGTGTGCCCGGAGTTGCAGTCGGTCGGTTTTCAGGTAGGAGGAAGTCCAGAGCTGATCTAGGCTTCCATCCCAAGTGCAGCTGATTAGGTCTAACGGCGATACTGCTGTGTACAACGTTGTTGTACAGGCTGGCGATGAGAGGCAACTTCTCATCCCAGTCATCCTGGTTGGGCTTGATGTAATGCCTCAGCAGGTGTTGTACAACTCTGTTCATCTGTTCGGCTTGTCCGTTGGCTTCGGGATGATTCCCTGAAGTCATCTGAAGTTGACTGCCCATCTGTTCAGCAGTCTTCTTCCACATCTCACTTGTGAAGCGGATATCTCTATCACTAACGATTGACTTTGGTAGTCCAAAATCACGCACCCAGTTGTCCATAAACAACTTGATGACGTGTTCAGTCCTTGCGGTCTCTGGCATGGCAATTAGTCTAGCGTACTTGGTGAATCGGTCTATGATGACAAAGATGTGCCTCTTGCCATTCCTATTGGTCACCAGGGTGTCCATGAAATCCATGGAAACATTCTGTCCCGGAGCAGCGGGGATAGGTAAGGGCTTCAGCAACCCACAGCTTGTCCCGCTGACAGACCTGACAGGTCTCCACATATTTCTTTGCATCTTCTAGCATTCCGGGCCACCAAAATCGCTGTACTAGATTGACACTCGTTTTTTTGTAGCCAAAGTGTCCGGTTGCGTCATGACTTTCTCCTAAGAATAAACTACGCAAACGTTCACTAGATGGAATCACTAATCTCTTAAACCCGGCCTTGTCAAGAAAGAGTAGCCCGTCCACCATCACAAACTCATCTTCTGTGGCCTTATCTTTCGCCTGAAGTTTGCGTATGATGTCCATCGTGACAGGGTCTTCCTGATAGGCTCCCACCAGCGATTGAGTTAATTCCTCAGATACACCAAACTCGGAAACTAGCGCCCCTAGGTTGTCTGCCCTTCGTGACAACACATCTGCAACCTTGTTGTACTCCCCCTTCAGATACTCTAGCTTGAAGTCATATTGATCTATGACCTCAATCCAACACTTGAGTGCATCAGAAAGAGCCGATTGAGTCTTGATCCATTTAACGGTCTGATGGTCAGTTCTCAAATAGAAAGACCGTCCCAACAAAAAGTGCCTTCAATGGACAAGTGCTTTGTAGAAAGCATAGAGTTCCCTTTCATAGGTGGACTTTGTCAGTTTCTTTGATGACATCTTTTTGCTCATATACTCAATCGGTCTCAACTTCTTCCCATCCTGCTGAGCCAGCACTGCGCCAATGTCATATTGGTTTGCGTCAGTGGTTACAATGAAAGGCTTCTGAGGACCGGGCACCATGAGAACCTCATGATTCATGAATGCATGCTTCAATCGTTTGAAAGCAGCCTCGCACTCATCACTCAAGTCCCACGGTGTGTCAAGTCGAGTTAGATCAGTCAAAGGAGAGGCGACTGTGGAATAATTCTTCACGAAGTTTCTATAGTAGCCGCACATTCCTAAGAAAGATTTGACCTCAGTAACAGTCTGAGGTCGTGGCCAGTCCCTAATACTAGCCACCTTCACATCTTCCGGCCTAATTCCTTCCGCAGATACTTTATGACCCAAGTACAAGATCCTAGTGCGTCCAAACTCGCATTTCTCAAGGTTGACCTTATACTTGTGCTATCGCAGGAGTGAAAGTACAGTCTGCACGTGCTATGCATGCTCCTCGACAGATTTACTAAAGATAAGAATATCGTCAAGGTGCACGACGACAAACTTATCTAAGTAGTCATGGAAGATCCGATTCATGGCGTGCTGGAATGTACCCAGCTCATTGCAAAGGCCAAAGGGCATCACGACAAACTCATACAGACCGTATCGGGTCTGAAAAGCAGTTTTGTGCTGATCCTCAGGTTTTATAGCAATCTGATGGTAGCCGGACTTTAAGTCTATCTTGCTATAGTACTTACATTCCGACACCCTATCCAATAGGTCGTCTATGCGAGGTAGAGGCTCTGCGTTTTTCACCGTGATGGCATTGAGGCCTCTGTAATCAATGCACATCCTCAATGTACCCCCCTTCTTCGATACAAATAGCACTGGAGATCCGAAGGGGGAAGCACTCGGCCGTACCCATCCCTTTTCTGTCAGCTCTTTCAGTTGTCACCGAAGTTCGTCCAACTCGGCCGGAGCCATCCTATAAATCCTTCCCTTTGGGGTTTTACTCCCTGGAATGATTTCTATGGCATGGACAATCTCCCTATCTACGACTCCTGTGGGCTATGTGAACAGATTTGGGAACTTAGCAACAACATGTTCTATCTCTAAGGGTGTTTCAACGGCCTCCCCTTTCTAAGAGACGTACACTAGGTACATACCCTCCTCTTGGTTTTGTTTATAGTAATTATAGAACGCTGATGCGCACAAGCAACCATAGGTTTCTATTAAACTATTGGCCTTATACTTAGCCAGTCTCACTGTCCTTCCATCCGACAATTTGTGTTTTAGCACCTTCTTGTCCCAATCAAACTGGGGCTTGGCAACCTCAAGGTAGTACATTAACAGCATATCGAATGGTAAGTCGTCGCTAACCAGGAACGAAATCTTATGATTAAGTTCCCCTCCTCCATAGGAGAAGGTACAGACTACATCCTTGATATAGTCTGTGACAACCATGCGCTCCTTGTTGGCCAAAGTAGATGCTACAAGTCTACTAAGGTGTTGTACCCGGTCCTCTAGGCGCAGCCTTTCCAAACAGTTGTGACTTATGTAATTTTATGTGGAACCAATGTCTACGAAGGCACCACATTTGTGGCCTCCTACAGTAACTTCCACGATGAAATGTTCCCCTCTAGGACCTCTACTTAGTGCCACCCAAGATTCGCGAGAGTCCTTGCTTGACCACTCACTTTCTAAATCTTCTAAGGCTTCGGATACATCCAACGTACAGAGCATGGTTTGGTCAAGGTGTGTCTGCGGGGTGACTAAAGAGTCATTAGCTATGGCCATCTCATGAAGTGGGGAGGTATCTGGCCCACTTCACCATGAGTAGAAGCAGCTAAAACTTCCACCAACCTCAAGTGTTTCCCGAGCTGGAAGCCTGGGAAGAAGGCACCCCTCCTTTAGGGGGTATCTTCTGCGTGACCTTTGCGTTCTTGCACTTGTACTGGGTGTGTCCGTATTCATCACAGTTAATGCAAGCGCCACGCACTCGACGGTCCCGCTACACTTCCTGATCAAGACCTGTCTTAACCCAATCTGCTACTTTGGACTGATTGGAGGCGGTCTGCCCTTGACTCTTTTGATGACCCTTTCCTCGACCACCTGCCTTAGTCTTTACTACTGCGGCGAGGGTGCTACCCTCAGCGGTTTCCTCGCTGTCGTACTCTGTACTGTCCATCAGGTCGGAAAGCTCATCGATCTCGGTTTGGGTCCCATCAGACTCAACCATCATCAATCGACTCCCCTTCTTCTTCCACTCCTGTGGACTCTTCTTCTTCCTCCCGTCTACTGGAGTGGGCTGAGCACTTCCTAGAGTAGCCTTCACATCTAAGGCCTTTCTAGAGAAGGTCTCAAAGAAATGATACTCGATGGCCAGTAAGGTCCTGAGATTCTCGGGCATACACCCGCCATCATAACGTATACCGGGTACGACGATGAGGTTCTCTATGGTAGACGTTAGCTCTCTGACTGACTTGTACTTTCGCTGGTCCAGTCTCAACATTGCGTCAGTGGCAATTTGTGCCTGCTGCGGATTGTGCCAGCGAGCTTCTACCATATCCAAGAACTCTTCTAATGTAAGGGTTTTACCCCAATCTGCCATGGGTCGTTCGTACCCGGCCTTCACTACTATACCATCCAGCCATTTGGCCGCCTTACCCTCAAGGTAAGATGCAGCGGTAATCACCTCCTCCTCCTGCAAAGTCCTCTTTGCCCTTACCCACATTGGAACTATTCTCAACCAAGTGTTGAGATCCTCGTCCTTCTTCTCACCGGAGAAGGCAAGGGGCGGTTTCATTGGGGTCTTTGGGTACCATTGACCTCGCTGCTGTCCCTGTGGTGGAACAATTTGTTGCGGTGATGGTGTAGCTATCACCGCTAGAACAGAAGAAGAAGAAGCAACAATTTGTGCGGCTGCTGCAAACGTACCACTTGGCTGTGTGCCAGGTTGTACCGGAAAGGGGCCTGACATCGCCGTTAACGGCAACGGCGACTGTGCTGCTGGCCGTAATCCTGGCCTTTGCAAAAGGTCCAAGATTTGGTCCAAGGAATTCTGCATGAAGTCCAGCCTACTGTCCACATGCGCATGCAGCAACAGTATGCTGGCCTTCAACACTTTCATCTGGTCAGTCGTGGTTGACTCATCCAAACCCTCTAGTGCAGTTGTGTCTGCCTCTAACGCATCAAGCCTGGCTGTTCTATTTTTTATTTCCTTTTCTCTATCGGTAGCTTGCTTCAGTTCCCTCTCTAGCCGAGCGGGGATCCTTTCGACTTGTTGGATCTCTAGTAGCTCTCTGCCGCGTGGGGTCAACGGACTGAACTGCGAGCCCGCCATTTGACTTGTGGACTGACTAGACCCTACCGATCCGGAAGTACCCATGGGTCCTGAGGGCATTCCCAACAGGCTCCCAGACGAGGATGCAGCAGAGGATGCTGCTGTGGTAGCCATTGCTGCTGCCGTGTCTGCTGCTGCTGCCTGTTCCCTAGCTGCGGCGTTTGCTTCTGCCAACGCCTGACTTGCAGCTAGCGCTGTATCCCTGGCTGCTGCGAGAGCACGGGCTCTAACTTCGGCACAAAGCCGTCTCTCATCTCCCGACTGTAGGGCCTGAACCACGTGCGGAACCCTTAGTGATCTCGAACGTGTCAGCCTTGCATCGTCAACTCTACCCTCATCGGTGTCTGACCCACTCATCAGTTAGGCAAACACTATCTGCACTACAACTCCCTGTTGGAGTCCTACCACAGCATGTGTCTGACTGGCACCTAATTTTCTAAAAATAAATGTGTCCGGCAGGTCCCCTACTCATCCGATCAAGTGGCAGCCTACAACATTCACAAAAGACAGTAAACATAATTTAGATACATCATGATTAGTTCACTTACAGAATTTTTGCACACAACTGGCTATGGTAGTATACAACAGCCCTACACTAAACTGTCTGTGAGGTGTTAGCAGTCTGTTAACCAACTAATCAATAATAAAACTAAACTATGTTGCAGATGCATGAACAGTGGATATGGTTGTGTTTACAGTTGAGCACCAATTAGAACCTACCCTCCCCTCAATCCAACATACCGATGAGCATCATTGAGCAGCAGTGTCATAGGTGTGCAATGTCGGYCCACCCCTRTGCCYCAGGTGCATGCTTATGACCAGGCTTGCCCATTCTTTATCCTCGCGTGCAACGAGCCGTACGTCCGACTGATCTGGCTGATCAAGAGGCCTATTTAAGGACTGCTCTCAAGGTCGCTCAGGAATTATTTAACGTCGCAATCAGGACGACGATCACAGCCAGTTGCCAGATCGGAACCGCATCCACAAATGTTTATAGACGGTCTGGGAGCGTCTGCATAAGCCTGTTTAGTCCTTACACCCCTCTATCAGCGCAGCAAAAGTGCCCTCATGGACAAAGCAGCCATCGCATGCATGTACTAATCCCATTGGGTTGGCATGGTGACCATGACCCATGTGCTTCGAGCAGGGCCCTTCAGAGGCACCGCCCTTTCTCCTTCCAGATGCGCCATCGGGAAGATTGTCGTCTCTCAAGGTAAAGCGCTCACCACACCTCACCAAAAGAGAGGACTATCAAGTTGGACTCACTTCCTCGCGGTAAGAAGAGATTGAGAGAGTAGATAAGGTAAGGGAACAACGTACCTGGAGATAGTTGCCCCCAACCACAGATTTCTCACCAATTGAGCCGAGTGTGCATTTGATGACCGGTCATAGCCTCGTACCACCCACAACGCAATACAGTGCCACCTCAGCCAAATGCCACATCAGCATGCTCTCATCACCAATCATACATTTTGCCGTCAGCAAGACATCCCAAGCCGTACAACCTTCCGGCGCACACCTCTCTACCCAGGTTGTGCGCCTAATATGGCTTGACGTCACAAGATCCAACTGCGAAGAAGCATCGTCAACGCACCAAGTCTGTATAACGCCAACGCACCAAGGTAAGCAGCGAATCGAACCAGCTCCGATACCAAATTGCAGGGACCATGAATGTGGACGAAGCACAGAAATCCAAATTGCAAAATCACATTGAAGTCCAAGTAGTCAAAGCAAGACCAGATAGCACAATGGAACCGAGTAACCATCCATTTGAGAACGATACAGAAGAATCGTGAGTCAATGTCC